GAAAATCCAAGTTTTACATTCTATTTTTTTGACTGCCTCGAAGAATTACGACATTCCTGAATACATTGTAGAAACTTTAATCGAAAACATTGATAAATTCACTCCAGAAATTGCTTATTTTGTTACTGTAACATTAGAAATTGTCTCTCAAAGACAGTCGATACCAAATGTTAATCAATTGTCCTTCAAGTTATTGGATAATTGGGGAATAAACGGTGAAAGTGATACGTTATTCGGTAGAAGTTTAGCAGAGAATTCTGATTGTCCATCCATTTCATCGACAGTTGCTAAAATATTTGTCAACACTTTGAGTAACCGCCTCATTAATATTACTAACCAAACTCTTGAGCATCTTACCCAGGCACTTGATAGTAATAGTCATAAACAAACGCGAATTTTGTCAGCAAAAGCTTTATATCTAGCTCAAACAAACCACGATATTCATGAAAATATTTTAATCGAATTACAAGAGTATGTAAATGATGAAGTACCCGATGTTTTAGTATATTCAACAGTTGTTTATGCGAAAGGTCTAGCTAAATTATCATTGACTGAAAAGCCTATTATGGAATGTCATTTTAGGCTTTTGCCGAAAAATTATGTTTTTGAAGATTTGGTTTTAAATGAAGAAAACTTTACTGGTGTAGTGAATAAAAATGTTTTAGATGTTTTACTTAATGAGTGTAAAAAGACTGAATTCAATGATGATATATTCAGTATTTTCGATCGTATTTTAAGTTCTGAAAGTCCTAATCAAGATAGAGTGATTCAAATCATCGATCATTATACAGAAATGAAGTATCTTCTACCACAAAAAACAATTTATTTACTAGATTCTTTTATGGAATTTCCTCAATATACTGATCAGATTTTGAAAATATTTAAGAAATTAATAAGAAATAAACAAACAGTTGGTGAAAGAATTCTCCACATTTTCGCCGATAATTTGTATTTACCCGATAATGACAAATTACAAGAGTCATTTGATTTACTAGATACAGCCAAAAAAAATCAATATGTATCTGATAAAATAGATGACATCATCGAGCTAGAAAGAATCTGTATTTCAAATGCATTGCTATCGTTCGATGATCACGATTTTCTTATAGCCTTGTTATGCGACAAGACAATAGATCGTGAGAAATTGACAGGCAGTGTTTGGATAGTACTAAATAGAATAAGCGATAGTCAAACGGAATTAAAAGAAAATATTCTATTGCTTTTACTCAACATTTCAAATAATAAAGAATTTATACATGATGAAACAGTTAACAGATTAGTAAACAAATTCGATCCTAGACAAACACAAAGTAAATTGATTAATTTATTTGAAAATTTAGTTAGAAACAATCAAAATGTTTCGGAGGAACTTTCGAAGAAATTAAACGAAGCGTTTGATAATGAATCGCTATCAGATAATGTGTCATTAATTTTTATTTTGCAAGGTCAAAAGGGTGAAAAATTATCAAAAAATATAATTATTAAGATTTTAGATAAATTTTTAACCATCAATAATCAAATGCTTATGCAACAATATTTATCTTTCATTTGTTTACTTATTGAAAAGGAAAACATTTTCAAAGAAGATATACAAACGAGTAGTTTTATAAAAGAAGAGCAAGCAAGAATACAAAACGTTTTAATTTACGCTTTGACAAAAGATAATCAAACTCTTATTCGTAAAAGCATTGATGGCTTTAGAAAACTTATGTCAATTCACAAAATTCGACTTACAACTGAGAGCATAGACCCTCTTTTAGAGAACAAAGTGAAAGAAAATTGTGATAAAAATATGCAAAACGAAATCCATCAGCTACTTCTTTTTTCAGAACTAAATGATACTCAAAAACAGAGATTAAGAGTCCCTAATATAAGTGATGATCCAGACGAATTCTTAAATGCATTGAATCAGATTTCTCCTGAGAATTTATCATCAGCACATTTTCTTCGTATCGATACTATTATTAATAGCTATCCGCTTTTAATTAATAGGGCATTAGAAATTTTACTGAAATGTTCGAACAAGAAGGAGATCGAAGAGAGATTGTTAACTAGTATTGCTGTTTTATTGGAAAGTACTATTAAGGATGACACAAAAAAATTGTGCCTAGAGTTAATAATCGAATTAGCTCGAGTAAACATAAGGGTTCCCAATGAAATGATTTCTGCTATTGTTGTTCAAGATAATATTACACTAGCAAATCATGCTTTTCAAATCATTGGCAAAAATCAAAACATTCCAACAGAACTTCTACATCTTATGGGTTTACTTTTAAGACTTGATAATATAAATAGTATTGATTCGATGAATCGTAATCAGTTTCTTAAAGATCTCCGAGAACAATTAGAGAAAGGTTTTGTATTATCTAATTCACTTGTTGAAAAATTGCTTTCTATTGAAGATGTCCAAAAAAATACTTTATCGGATTTCAAAAAAGAAACCAAACAGTATTTCATCGACATTGTAGCTCTATTAGTATTGCAAGACTCCGTCCACAGTTCTCATCAGTTGATTATTGATAATTTAGAAAAGGCTATTTTACATAGAAAGATAAATTATAATATTATAAAGGCTTATCAACAAGTTATCAAAACAAAAAGGTGTACAGTAAAAACACTCAGTACATTATTAGATAATCTGACAGAATCATTAGAGAAGAATAATCCATTTGAAAAAATTCATTTCGAAGTACTTAAATGTATAACTCTAGTCTCTGAAGTTATGCAAACACCAAAAATTAGAATTCTTGAAAAACTTCTTTCTAATAGTAATGATTTAAGTATCAAAAGGTGGTCATATCGAGGCCTCCGAGCGCTAGACAAGATCGATTTAACATCTGAAATATTCATAGAATGGTGTGATAAGATCAAAAGTGATCTAGAAAGAAGAATTCATGCTAACATTGAGTTAGATATATATCTATTTGAAACTATAACGTCATTGCCAGATGATGACTATGAAAAAATTTATGATAAACCCCAATCTCAATGGAATCGAGAATTGATCATTTTCGATTTATCAAAACGATTCAAAATTGTTGAAGAAGAAGAAAAATCTAATTTTCATAAAATTTGTCTTGAAATTGAAATCTTTGAAAATTCTAATCAAAATACGACCTATAGACTCCTGAATTTAGTACATCGTGCCTTGTGTAATAGTGCGATTTCATTTAGCGAATTTTGCGATGGTCTAAAATGTTTACCGAAAGTAGATTTAAGAAATGTATGTGAAATTTTATTAAATAGTGAAAATCCGTTTTCAGATTTACGGAAAGAACATATTAAAAATTTAATCCAACAACGTTTATCAAATAGTGATATTAACAGCAAATACATCGATAATCTAGCACTAAATATGATTTCTAAATTTGGCATCGATTATAGTGAACATTTTTTGAAACCAATAAAACATTTAGATAATTTAAAAAAGCTCAACGAGGTTTTGACCTTTGCTTACGAGAAAGACATGAAAATATCTGACATAAATGATGAGGATACGACAATTTCAATGCGAGAGACATCATTAACAACAAAATTTTGGTGTAATAAAATTGAAAAAATCAAAAATCCTAAATTATATGCTACTCTTCGCCGTTTATTAGATAAGCAGTGGACTCTTGAACAATTAGGAACTCTGTATGACAACCTTCATGCTTCTAATTATCAAGATAAGATAGAAAAAGAACAATATTTTGTTGATATTCTAGAAATATTATTACACTATAACATTGATTTTACTTCCGAAAACTACGAAAGAATTCTATCAACACTTAATGAACCTGTAGATACTTGGCTAAGAGAAATAAATATGATGGCGGTTGAAAATAATTTTTTCGAAGAAGAACAAACCATGAATATATTGGAAATAATAAAGGAATTAGGAGAGAAAAATTCTGATAATCAAGATATAGTAAAGTTAATTGAAGACAATCATTTACATGATCTAGTTAAAAAAATCAAAAAGTCTGATTTCGTTTCAAAAATTATAGAAAAAAATGTAGACAGTTCATCTAACCGAAATTATATAACTGAATGGACTAGAGATCAAATTCAACAATGGGCAAACAAAGTAAAAAATATTGATCTCATTGCACATAAACTAGAATTTATTCTAGAAGTATTTGCAGTAATAAAACGAGCTTGTTTGTTAGATAGTGGATTCATTTTAACTGATGCTCAAATAATAAGTTGTCTAGTCATTTTAAAAGCAAACGATAAAGGACGATTATTGCAAGTAAATACTGGTGAAGGTAAATCAACTATTATTAGTATACTAGCAGTAATTCATGCTTTAAACGGAAAATATGTCGATATTATAACTAGTTCCCCCGTACTTGCAGAACGAGATGCAAAAGAAAAAGCAAATTTCTATAGTATGTTTAATCTTGAATGTAGTCATAATAATGATAAACCAAACTATCAAACAGGTCCAAAAACTTGTTACAAAAAACAAATCGTTTATGGCGAAGTAGCTCAATTTCAGTTTGATACATTGAGAACCTACTATGCTGAATTGAACACATTGGCAGATAGAACATTCGGTGTTGCTATTGTAGATGAAGTAGATAGTATGCTTATTGATGATAGTTCAAAAATTGCAAGATTAGCAACAACTATAGCTGGAATGGATCGATTACAGCTTATTTATCACATCCTATGGCATGAAATTATGTCTTTACCAGAAAGAGTTATAAAGTTCGATGAAAAAATTTATTTATTACATGAAAAACATAGATTTCAAGATGAGAAAATCGTTTTAGAATACGCTAATGAGCAAGGACAAAGAGTGAGCATTTTGGATTTACAAGATTATATAGCACATACTTCAGATATAAGCCATATTGGAAAATCTATTCCAGATGATAGTAATTATGATATTGTTATAAGGAATCATTTAATAGAGTACATTACAAAATACATCGAAAGAGAGTATCAAATACCGAAGAATTTTGTAGATTTTGTTAATTTACAAATACCACAGTGGGTTGATAATGCTATTATTGCATGTAATTATCGAGAAGATGTTAATTATATTGTACGAGATGATTTGATTCAACCAGTGGATTTTTCTAGTACGGGCATTGTTCAGAATCTTTCGAATTGGAATAATGGTCTTCATCAGTTTTTGCAAATAAAACATAATCTAAAAATGACATCTGAGACTTTAACTACAAATTTTTTATCGAATATAGGATATTTTAAAAAGTATGGAAAGAATTTATTTGGTCTTACCGGTACATTAGGTTCTGATGCATCTAAGAAAGTATTTGCAGAGGTATATGATCTAGATCTAGTAATTATTCCTGGTTCATATAAAAAACAATATATTTCATTGCCTGATATTCTAATTAACAATGATGCTCAGTGGTTAGAAGCGATTCGTCGTTGTGCAATTAATGAATCGAATAAAGGCAGAGGGACACTCATTATTTGTGAGACTATCGAACTTAGCAAGCGAATAGCAACAGAACTTCGAACATGCTGTCGTTCAAACATAGTTAAACTTTATATTATGAATAATATGGATCAAGAAAAGCACATCGAAAGAGTAAAGCCAGGAGAAATAATTATAGCTACGAATCTAGCAGGACGTGGTACCGATATAAAAACGAATGAAATTGAAAAATATGGTGGTCTTCATGTTATTATCACATTTATGTCTCCTAATAAACGCGTCGAGGAACAAGCATTTGGAAGAACTGCACGACAAGGTAAACGAGGTACAGGCCAAAGAATATTAAATACTAAATATTTACTAGGCTATAATAATTGTACTATTGAGTCAATTATCCAATCGAGAGATCGAAACGAAGAAAATATGTTAGAGCATTTTAAAGAACAAGAATTACAAGTAATTAATCTGAAAGATAATCTTTTTATTAAATTTTGTGATCTATTAAAACATATACGTAGAGAAATTAGGGAGAAAACGAGTGTCAAGACAAAATTAAAGGAAATTGTAAAAAGAAAATTCGGATATGATCGTCCTTCCGTATTGGAATCTAATTTAATTCTTAGCATTGAAGAACGATGGGCTATTTTTCTACATAAAATTGATAGTGAAGAATCGTCTATTAATAGTGAAAAAATTTATCAAGATTATGAAAAATTTGAAAAGGAAATAATTGATGATTATCATAAAGACTATGTCATTAGAAATCCTTATTATCATATTAAAATTGCTTATGACTTAATCATCAATGATTCTTTCTTAAGTGAAACTTATGAAGAAGCTATGAAACATTTTAATCGAGCTATTGAACTTGATGAGAAACATACAGCAGCTGCATTTTTTGGTAAAGGTTGGCTATTATTGAAGGGTACGAGAAAATTTATTCTATCTCAAAATCAAGATATAAACTATAAGGAGACAGTTATTGCTGAGTTTAACAAAGCACTTCAGATTTTGAGCAAAGAAATAGCGTCATTAACAAATATGAAAATACTTCTTGAACAAAGATGTTCACAAACTTTGACTACTCTATGGAAACAATTATTTCAGAAAATCAATATTCTTACTACTTATATAAATAGTATAGAAAGAAATATAACTGTTATCGAAAAGTCGCAAAGATTAATTCAGATAACTGAGAAATCAAAAACAAATGATGGAGGAGTGTCAGAAGAGATTATTACATATGTTAAATTTGAGAAAGAATGTGGAAAATGGTGCGATATTTATTTAATCTCAGCTGATGAAGTAGATAGACAGTTAAATGCTGTCAAAAAGCGAAAACAAATTTTTATTGTTATTGAAGATGATGATAAATTTAGTGTTAAATATAAGCAAAAAGGAAAAGATGAATATCAATCATTGATAATAACAAATAAACATTTGACCGATGATCTATCACCCTTACGTCATAATAAGCAAATGATAAGACTCGATAGAAACAAGTATTCAAGAGTTTATGCATTAATTTATGAAGCTGTAACATCAAAAAATGGTTATGTTCAACAAGATTATGTAGAATCTCTCAAAAGTTTAAAAGATCGTAAAACATATGAAGTAGCATTTAACGACTTAACTGTCAGATACGATTGCGGAGCTATCGATCAAGCAATAAAAACTATCGATTTTGCGATGTCCGAAAGTCGGTCAAATCGAATAGAGGACAGCACTGCACGCACAACTGTTCAAACAATTCCAAGTCGTATCAGACAAAACGTAGACTTAAGCAGTACTTCTAGACATATTAGTGTTAGTATAATGCAGATCAATGCAGGAGTATTGAAAGAATTTTTAAATCCTAATATTGAAATTCAAGAAGTAACAAAACAATTAGCAATATCACATTTAGAAGATAAAAGTTCATTTTTTCATTGTCACATTTTACCGGAAAATTGGTCTCCTGATTCGTGTAGAGTTAATTTAGAAATTAAGACAGATAATAAAACATTAGAAGAAAAAAATGATTTGCAAGTAAGAGATGCAATAAAAATTATTAAACAACAAACAGATAATAATATATATTTCAATTTATGTTTCATTGATGCAAATAAAATGTCAACAGTTTTGAAAAAAAATGTTTTATTTGATTCAGATCAAACTATAGAATTTATTGGATTAGATAAAAATAGTATACAAGATAAATTAACTGCAATTAAATCGGAATATATTGATCTTGAAATATATGACAGTAAAGAAAAGGTACTAGAAGTAATTTGTTTATCAGAAGTAAAAGACGTGGAGATTTATTTTGATGCAAAATCAGAAAAAAATATTGATACTATTAAAAAAATAGTCAACAAACAAATAGCACAGAAAACTATTGAGGAGAGTACTAGTAGTCGAGTACTGATTGGATTGATAAATATAGGAAAGAATCTTGCAGAAAAAGTAATTCACATTTGTTCAAATGCAGATTTTGTTATTAGATTTATCAAGGTAAAATTTGAAACTCTTTTAAATGGACTAAGTCATGAAATTGTCAATTTTCACTTTGATAGATTAACGAAGAAAACTGCTGAAATTCTTATTAAAGAATTACGAAAAAACAATCTTAATTTTACATTGAAATTTAAAAATTTGACAAATGATCAAGCAAAACGACTTATACAATTCGCTCCAATAGAACAAGAAAATATTCAAATAACTAAAAAGAAAACTTTAAGTGAATTATTCATGAATGAATCAATGCCTAAATTAGAACTTTCAGAATTTTCCGAACGAGGTATCGAATATTTACTTGAAATCAATGAGAAAGGATTTATTCCATGGAGAGGTATCGCTGTTGTAACTATGCTCGCTGCTATTCAGGTGGTAGTAGGTGGAGCATTAATGGCTACTGGAGTTGGTGGCACTGTAGGAATGGGTCTCATAACTGAAGGTGTAGTAGATTTAGTCGTTGCTGGTACTGCTTTATATACTAGAAAGTTTTCTTGGTCAAATTATGCACTACAGAAAGGAGTAAGTTTGACTATATCAGCAATTTCTATGGGCATTTCATCAATGAAAAATGCAAGTAAAGCAGCTCAAAACATTGCAGTAGGAATAGGAGACGAAATAGCTGAACAAACAAGTACACATACAATAACACACGGTAAAACTCTAGCTCATGGATTAGCTAAGACTGCACATCATGTGGGCAGTCACACTTTTAAAAATGTTGCTGTAAAGATGGCTGCACGATCACCATTACTTGTTAGTCAGGCTATAGCAATTAGTGCGCCTTTTCTATTGGAGCATTTAAAACCGAAGATATCGAAATTCATACAAGATAAAGTTAAGTCAAATTTTTCCGAATCTGGATTGCTAAAATTAATAAGCAAAATATATGTAATTGACTTACTTAACAAACAAAAACAACTTACAAGAAAGATCGATGATATAATAACTCAGATAATTAATTCGAATAAAAATTCTTGTGGATTACATTGGACTTCAATCTGTAAAACAATAAATAAGTGCATTGATACAGTAGAATCAAACATCATATCGGGTACAATTAGTTTAACTATGAAAATAATAGCAATTTTGAGCAGCAAACATGAAATCGATATTATTATCAAAGATATATCCAACAAACTTGATGTAAAACTTTCACAAATAAATCGAGATACATTATCATGGGAGCAGATCTTAGTACGCCATTGTTCTATTAATAAGGAAGATATCAATGGCATAATATCCCTTCTTGTAGAACAGAACATTATAGAAAAATCCAATGTTATTTATGAGAATTTCTATAACCCAGATTTTCTAGATAAATTGAATCGTTGTAATTTTAAGGAATACAATAGATATAAAGCGAAATTTTTAGATTTTTTTAAGACACTACATAAACATATGTTGAGTGTAAACATTGATGATTTGAGTGAAAAAATGAAGAGGATATCAGATTTGATTACAGATTATATAATTAAATTTACACAAATGCAAGTTGATTCTAATTGAAAATTCTTTTAAATATTATAATAAAGATTAAAAAAAACGATAATTAATAAAAAAAAATATTAATATCTACTAATATAAATTAAAAAAACATGTTCAACGTTCATTTAACTGAACGTTTTACTTCGTTCGCCATAATGTTTGATGAAAATGTGTTTGTTGATAGATATTAATATTTTTTTTAATGAATGAATTAGAATTAGATCATTTTCTGATAGTTATAGAAAATCTTTGTAAAATTATTTGTTAGTTTTAGCAGAACGATAAAATCAGCAGCGTAAGAAGAGATAGACAAGCAAATGTTGGAAATTTTAGGAAGGTAAGCATCGAAGTGGTGAAAACATGAAATAGTGAAAAAGCTATGTGCTGAACAACTAAGAATTATGATCATATAATAATATTTTATGATCTCTTAATCAAAAGAATAAACTGTCCAGTCTACTTTACATTGATATTTACTCACACAAATATATTCAAGTCGAATCGACGTATGTCCTAATCATAATAGTTTTTTTGGATAAACTTCTACTACCGTAATCATTATTTTGTTCAGAACTTCTGAAACTCTTCACTAACTTCACATAAACCGGCTCAATCATAGATGAGATCTTTCAACCATATCTATATTAACCAAATGTCTTAAGTTCCCGATTGCGATAACATAAGAATATAAGGTTTAGGTATCTATTATCCAGTTGTTTACATTGTTCTAACTCACTATTTTTCTCTTATTAAGTGTATACAATTGCCGATTTAGTTTTGTCACTATTTGGTTCACATTTTCAAGTTGCAAACAATTTATTGTCATTATTTCGATGAGATTTAACTTTACCAAATGACCATGATGTATTTCTAAATAACACTACATTTGACAAGAAACTGAAAATAGTAGACAGTCGAATTATTACCTAACAGGAGATATGACAGAAGATCATAGTGAATTTCTTGTCATTTGTATTTTTTGCTAATGAGTCCATGTCAAAAAAGAAAATACTATAAATCAAGTAGTTTCATGAAATGATAAATTGTTATAAATTATCTGAAATGTAGTATACATTTCATATTAGAGTCTAAAGAAAAAAAATTCATCTGTTAATAATCGAATTTTGAAGTACAAATCTGCAGAATCTAATCACATACCATGAGTATTTACATTATTGAAAAAAAAAGTTAATGATTTTGAAAAATGTCATGCTAAATAATCTAATCTTCTATATTCATATCCAAAGATGTGAAAAAAATTTCATATAAAATATGTTAGTGTCTTGACGAATTGGTTCACCAAGAACTTTTCAGTTTTCTATTTGTATGCTGATATTTCAAATCACTGAGCTACTATTTGAACCTCTTCATATACACTAAACAAGTTTCTGAACAAATTATTTGTAATACTTTCGGATTTTCGTTGACTTCAACAAAAGATAAATTCCTGTGGCATGATGCTTTACATCTAGTAGTTTTTTTTCATATATTGTAGCAAATTTATGAAAAATCAGGATCGTATACCTACCAAATATTTCAATAACGATGTAATTCATGTATTACGTCGATATACGATTCTGATTTTTATGGATCCGTTGTAATATAAGATGTTGATCAAAGTCTATTACAGACTTCTTTGTTTTGATGAATTATCTATATACATTTACCGTGTACATTTTCCTTTACTTATTTTTATATTACTTATTTCATTTAACTCTTACTTACTTTCGAAGTTCTATGATTATTTTTTTTCCTAAATATATATATTACTGATGTATTTGCATCTGTTGTTTCTTTTTTCTTTCTTTATTGTTTGAAATGTAAATCCATACCGAAGAAAATGTGTTCGGTTTTTTTTGTGTCGTCTATTTAAACAAAAGTTTTTTGTAATCAATATCTCTCAAACATATCAATATCAAATTGGCTAGATATGGCAAAGTCGAGTTTTTTGGAGAAGGATTATCAATTATTAACTAACAAGTCCTAAAAACAATCAGGAAAGAAAATATTTTTGCAACGCATGGATGAACCCAGAGAAATATTAACGAAACAATTGAATTTGCTATGTTCCAGTCGATGTTGTCTGTTCAGTTTAATTTCATCAAAACTTTCTAATCTTCAGATTTACAAAGATATGGATATATATATGTTCATTGCAAACTTCATAAAGATTTAATGGAAAGAAGAACATACTCGATTAATCTTATATGGATAAAGTGGCGGTAAAAGTCATAGTGATAGTAAAGTGAAAATGAGCATAATTCAATTGTCGCCATAAATCATCAAAATGTTTATGGATCTCCCTTAAATATGATGGAAAAGTAACCAACATCGAATAGAAAAATGAAGTAACAGAATGCTTCAAAGAGGGAAATCGTCAACCTTTAAACTCAAGAAATTCTACGCAATATTTACCATTTTGTTACATACTTTATATATCCTGTCTGTATGACATAAGAAATTTTGTTAATCAATCCATGCTAGTTGTTTCATTCTGTTGCAAATTTAATCATTCTTTATTTGAAAAAATGATTCTCCAACATGGCTATTGAATCATATTGAAACTCGATGTTCAAGTTTTACTTCATTTAAAAAAAACAACACAAAATACATATTGAATGAATAAATTTATCTTTGTATATTATCCAATGTCTAAAATTTAGATACACATCACTTATGATTTTTCATATGATTGGTCTTTGTCAGAATTCCTCAAGAGATGGAAGAGAGTGTGGGAGTAGATGAGTGTGCGTGAGATGTATGAGTATACTTTGGTAAGACCTTTCATATGAGATAATTAAATCGAAAATCAAAATGTGGTCGGCAGTGAACTTTTGACAGCGTTAGATGAAAATAGATCAATCTATTAAAATCAACTTTTGCTGTTCAGGAAACGATTTATGTCAATTTAAAATTAAGATTTGGATGTGGGTGTGAGGGTGTGGGTGTGGGTGTGGGTGTGTGGGTGTGGGTGTGAGTGGGGGTGTGTGTGGGTGTGGAGTGTGGGGTGTGGAGTGTGGGTGTGGGTGGGTGTTGGTGTGGGTGTGGGTGTGAAGTGTGGGGTGTGGAGTGTGGGTGTGGGTGGGTGTTGGTGTGGGTGTGGGTGTGGGTGTGAGTGTGGATGTGGGTGTGGGTGTGGGGTATAGGTGCGGGAGCGGGTGCTAATGAAGAGAAGATTAACTATCACCCACACCCACACCCACACCCATACCCACACCCACACCCACGCCCACGCCCACACCCACACTCCACACCCACCCCCCCACCCACACCCACACCCACACCCACAGCCACAGCCACAGCCACACCCACACAGCCACACC